TTTTTTTTTTTTTTTTTTTTTTTTGAGAAAGGTAACGATTATATATATGAGAAAAATAATTACAAGATTGTGTGTCACCACAATCAGAACCAAAAAAAAAATGAACCCCTAGTCTATCCTTTACATACGTACATACATACATATTATATGCATATATACATACATACATGCATACATACATATGTGTGTGTGTGTGTAAATTTTGACCTTATTTTTCATGGTTTGCTTAAGTATAATGAATTACTGTGAAACTATGAGAAAAAATAAAAGTAAAAGGCAACTAGATTTGAGGTATTAATGAACTCATTGCCAAAAAGATTGACCAGAGTTTTGAAAGGCAAAAAACATGTTAGGGCATTCAATGCAAAGCTCAATTCAATTCGTGCGCTTTAGAGAAGAAATTGCTAATAAAGAAAAAATAAAATACAAACACATATATCAGACCTACATATATAAATATATGCAAGAAAAAGCGAATAATTATTTACTTGCTGCCATAAAAGTATATGTAGCAAGTAAGAATCACTATAAACACAAACAATGATCATTTAGGATAAACGAATTTTAAAAAATAAAATAAAATAGAACTAGGCAAAATATATGAAATAAAAATCACGTCAAGCAAGTTGAAAAACCATTTTAAAATTTTTTATTTAGACGTAAAAATACAGTTTTTAAGTTTTTAGTGACTGGGCTTGTATATCACTTCTCTAGTTTCATTTCCTGACCACCAAAAAAGTTCCTTAATCACAATTTTTAATAATAACTCTATTGTTTTGCCAACTATATATATTGCCAGGTGTAGCCGACAGAATTCAAGGCGATGAGGCATATATCTTAGTCCCTTGGAGCCTGCAGTCATGAGCCACCTAAGTAAGGGGGACCCTCTAACTTGGGCTTCACATAACTTCAGAGCTTAAGCATGCTACAAGCAAGCCTTGAACGTCACTGAAGATGACGTGAGATAAAAATTGAATGACAGCACAAACGTATGGACACGAAAGAGTAACAGTAAGAAGGTCAAGTGTGGCCCACTAGTTGAGAGACAATATACAGAGGCCTTCATTGAGATATTATAAAAATCTAGGACTTGGAGCCTAGCCTTACCAAAAGTGGGAGCTTCTTTTATCCGTTCTTCAGCCTGTTTAGAGAAAACAAAATGAGGTAAAGGTAAATCATGCACAAGTATGTGGAAAGTAAAAGGCTACCACAGATTGAAAGTTCACTCATGGATTGGTTGCAAAATATGAAGGAGATTAAAAGTAGCTAATGTTTGATCTAAATAGGTTATGATTATAGCAAATGTCAACATTAACAGAGAATGTACAATAAGTCCTCTGCCATGGCTGTACAGCCAAGCACACAGTATTACAAGATGTAAGCATTTGATGATCATTTCAATGATAGCTTGAACGAACTCCATCCTTAAAAACTAAAGTTCTTTCAAGAAAAGATTGTCTAGCAGCAGAATTTGGTTTAAATTTTCCTTTCCTAACCAAAATCTGAATTTATCCAGAAAATTCCATAGCATCAAGCACATATCATGGTCATGCCCCAAATATCCCACTTTTGCCAAACCATGAAGGGAAACTATTATTGTCAATATGGTGATAGAAAATAAGAGCAGATGTAGATGTAGACAGCAGAATGAATTTAGACATCACAGGTTTACTGATTGCACAACTGATGGGACACTATATAGAAGACAGAAAGGAGAAACCAAACATGTAGATAGAAGTAACATAACATAGACCTAAAATACATGAACTGTGGAGAAAATATCAAAAAGAATCAAAATGTGGAAAGATAAGTACACAAAATTAAGAGAAATATCAAGAGAAAAAAGGTAGAATTAGACCAGAAACTGAGATCCATCTGTATCTTTAGCATCTGCTACCTTCTGTCCTGATGATGAACAAGGATCATCTGATGAAGATACATCACGCCTGAGATCTAAATTTATTTGGCTTTGCTCAATCGCTTCTTGTGAACTGAATATGTCCACTAAGGAATCTGAACTTGAGGCATAACCAGCCGATAATGGATCAATCTTAAAGGCCTCTGATAGACATTGCTTAACAACCTCAAGTCCTTCATCATCAACTCCAGAAGCAGGTTCAACTATGTAACAAGGAATAGACAGAGTCAGTAGATGAAAAATTCACTCACTCCACGTTGAAAGTAAGACTTGAGGAGACTTCACAATTTAACAGGATAAAAACAGAAAAATAACCATGACTAATAGAAACAAGAAAGTAGCATGCACCAAATAATATAACATCGAAATAGCTTTATTCATAGCTTTGAGGTTTCCAAAAAAAGATTTGGTATTTCCCAATTCTTCCCCCAGTCAAGCAGTGCTTTCCACCCAATCGTGAAGGTGTTACGGAAGAGGAAGTAATACGTGCACATGAGCTAGTGAGAGAGAAAGAGAGAAGAGGGCAGGTTGTAGACGTTTATCGATGGATTTTCTATGGTTAGAGGGTCGCACTCCAAATGCACAAGATTCAACCTTTATTTGTTCAGCTAAAAGTCTCAAACTCAAATCATGGATAAATGTTATTAGTAAAGGAGGCTTAGTGACAGGGTGCCAGACTAGGAATCGCGAATAAATTAACAAGGCAGGGAGGTGCCAGAGGATGTAGCAACAAGGTTGGAGAGAGGTATAGTGGTTGTAAATGGTTAACAACAACGGTTCATGGAAGCGGGTGGCCAGCCTTTACTCACCCAAAGGCTGGATGACGAAAGCATGGTTATATGGCTGAGCAGACTTTGTGGGGGATGAGAGGCAACAATAGTGATGGTTATGACCAATGATGGTTAGGGCTTTTTCTTTTTCACTTAATGTTTTTGCTTATTCTTTTTTCTAGTAATATCATTTGCTCATTATGATTCTCTCTTACTTCTGTTTATTCTTTCAAAGCAGTTAGTAAGGAGCTTTTTCAAATTTTTTTGGCTTATGATCTTCTTTTCACTTTTTTAATCTATGATGCTCACATGCAAGCACAATCTCGTTGGAATTCATTTACAGTTGCTGTATGGATCACCCAAAACACCAATTTCATACCATAGGGATCCAGTCAAATTGTATCTTAGCTCAAAATCGAAGATAGATATGTGATTTACTTGCCTAACAACTATGTTAGGAATTCAAACAGTATTCTAAATGCTAAAAATTGGCAACAGGAAGTTCCTATTTGCAGTTCTCTTCAAACCTTGGTAGGATGCTCATTCTCAAAAGAAAATGTAACTCTTTAATCTCAATAAACAATGCCTTCTAACCTAGAACCACATCAGTTGCTATATACAAGTCCCTAATGTTGTGCCCACGGCCCAAGTTAGGTGGCACAACATTCAATTTACTCAATTATTGTACTTCCTGAAATCCAGATCTCTTTTCTTTCCCTTTCTCACTTATCTGCCTGTTTTGCAATAACAAGGATCATTGAATAATTTTATTTCACATTCCTTTTCATTCTTTTTCACATTTTTTCTCAAGTTGTCACATCAGATAAAAATATATACGAATTTTAAGAAACATATTTTAGGCCTCATATTGAAGTTTGGCTGTAGAGCATCAAATCCATTGAGCTGCCCTTGTAAGATTCTAATCCTAATCCCTTAAAGGGAAACTTAGTCAATGCAATAACTATATCTATGCAGTCCACTACAGCTATTATCATCCCTGCCTAGAATCAGCCAGTAGTTCCACTTTAATACTAGCGGCCCGATAACTTGATTTCCTTTTATGAAATAAACTGATTTTCGCTAATTTAGCACCATGTTCTCAATGCTGAACAACATACCCATTGAAGCTTTATTTTTCCTTTTAATCCATATAAAATTCTGATCTATAAGTACTCCTATAGACTGATCTTGACTAGCTATGTCCAGAGAAGAGAAACATTTTGTAAATGGATTCATTTCAACACAATTATATACATACATCCACACACATACATATATAAGTGGGATAATGGGCAGAAGCGTACCAGAATCTAGAAAGCGCAAGAAGGAGAGGACTATGCGACGAGAGAGAGGAGAATCCGTCTTCAGCTTCGCCATTGACGGAGGAGACCACTTATGAACCGGGTCTTCTTTATTACTAGCTTATATACATGTGGCCATTTGCATAAATAGCTACTTTTAAGACTACCCGTTAAAATATGATCACTGTTATAAATAGTATCTTATTTATAGAAAATGTCTATTTTTTTTTAAAGAGATTTTAGAGTTTGTTACTTTACGACTAAGTCACTTTTTTCTATAAATAAAGGGGTTCTATCCAAGGGCGGCCAGAGGGTAAAGCCTCTAAAGCGGTGGCTTTAGGCCCCGGAATTTTGGGGGCCCCAATTTTTATTTTCCAATTCTTATTTGATGTCCGATATTTAATTTGGGACATTAATTAATTCAAATTCGTACCGTGTAAAATTCATTAAAATGGGAATTGTTCCTTATAAGGGATTTTTTTCATTCCAAATAATGAAACTGAATACTTCCGATTAAAGAAGGAGATTTGCTATCCATCCCACCATAACTCTTCTCGTGAGGCCCCAAATCTTTTGAAGAAAATATTAAGTATTTCAAAGTAGAAAAGTAAAATATTTTATATAAAAAAAAAGGATTACAGTAATCATTAGAAAATATGTAATACACTTTTAAACTCTATTTTTTTCCTTAGGTTTTCATCATTGCAACACGTATATTGAAACATCAAAAAATTCTTTTAATATAAAGTTATCAACTTCTTGAATCATATTCTATTACTTAAGATCATACTGCACATGAGATATTAAATGGTTTATGCGAGAAATTTTAAGTAATTTTATTCTCAAAAAGATAGAAAAATCTATGTCAACTAAAAAATATATGATTTTTTTAAAAAGGCCTCACATTAAAGTTTGGCTTTAGGCCACCAAACTTATTGAGATGTCCCTGGTTTTATCCCCTTGTAATTAGAATTCTCTATACTTTTCTCTGCAATATTCTTCGTTGTTTTAATTTGTAGATATACTATTAGTTAGTTGTTTAAAGTTTGAAAAATTAAACCACTCATGGAGAGAAGATATAGGAATTTGCGTGAGGCTCTTGCATAAATGTATTGATATTCCTATACTAGGCATCTGCTTTGGTCACCAAGCTTTGGAATACATGCATGGTGCTCAACTTGTATATAATATTGAGCATAATGATTGTCAATTATTTCATGGACTTCGTTCAGGAATAAATTCCGGATTTAGGATGAGTATTTTACCTTATTTTTCTCTTTTAAATTGTTAAAATTCTATAATTTGATTTTAAATATAAGCAAACAATAATTTTTTATTATAACTCTAATAGAGCTTGTTAGTAATTATAACCATCGGAATTGATAAAATGTTTATGTCTTGTCATGATCAAATTTATGTATGGTTGTGAGCACAAGAAGTGGAAATACATCCCATTGAATTTGTTTCATTCTCATTCACTTATAAAATGTGGTAGTAGTATGTGATAAGTCTGAAAGAAGATAAAATTATTACCATAAAGGTATTAATGGATGTGGATGTGGCAATAGAGAGCTCTGGATGTGATGACAATGTGAGTATTACAGGATAAAAGTAATGGAAGTAACATATATTGCCTATAACGATTTTAACCATGACCATAATAGTATTACTTTCTCCTTGAAAGAGATATTCACCATATGAATGTTGAATATGTGATAGTACAATAATTAATTGAGAGCTCTGGATGTGATGACCCGATAGGTCATTTTGAGTTTTAGCCTCTATTTCTGTGTTCAGAGACCTCGATTAGCTCTGTTTAGTATTTCTAGATTTATGTGCATAGTCGTGTCTTATTCCGAAAATTTTTTATGTGAAAAACGAAAGAAAATATGAATTTTAGCCTTAAATGATTTGAGTTGACTACATTCAATATTTTGTGTAAACGGACCCGAATCAGTATTTTGACGATCTCGATGGCTCTGTATCATGATTTTGGACTTGAGTGTATGCCCGGAATTGAATTCGAAAGTCCCTAACTTGATTTAACGTGTTTTGTTAAAAACTAGTAATTTAAAGATTTAAGGAATCTGAAGTTTGACCGTAGGTTGACTTTATAGCTACCAGGTTTAGATTTTGGTTTCGAGAATTGGCATAGGTTCATTTTACTATTTTACGACTTTTCTGTAAAACAGGGTGCAAAACGGAGTTGATTTAATGTGATTCGGACGTTCGGTTGTGAATTTAAAAGTTTTTAGGTTTCATTGAAAATTTCATACATTTTGATGTTCGATTCATAGTTCTAGGTGTTATTTTAGTGTTTTGATCACGCGAGCGAGTTCATATGATGTTATTACACTTGTGTACATGTTTGGTTTGGAGCCCAAGGGCTTCGGGTGAGTTTCGGATAGGCTACGATTCGATTTGGACTTAGACGTTCTGCTGGTTTTACTGATATCTAGTGTCGCGGATTCCTTCATCGCGAACGCGATGTCTTGGTCGCGAATGCGAAGCACTAGGGGTTAACCTTCGCGAACAAGACCAGCCTCTCGCGAACACATAGGGTTATGGGATTCTGGAGTGGGGGGGGTTGATCAAATGCGAATGCGAGCCTAGGCTCGCGAACAGAAGGCCAGGGAGGCAGGCCATCGCAAACGCTAAGGCCATTTAGGCCACTGCTCTTCGCAATCGCGTCAGGCCCTTCGCGAAGGCGAAGAAGGCCTGATGCCTAGTGACTTAAATATTCCAAAGTTGGGATTTAACCCATTTTTCACTATTTTCAAGTTTGAGCTATGGTAGAAATTGAGGATTTATGTAGAAATTGGGGTTTTGAGAAATTGATATTTAGAGCTCAAAATGAGGTCGGATTTTCGAAACTAATCACATAACCAGGCTTGGGGGTGATTGAGTAATTGGGTTTTAGTCTGAATCTCGGATTTTGACCAAGTGGGCTCGGGGTTGACTTTTTTCTAAAATCATTAAAGGTTGAATCTTTTTCACTCGTGGTTAATTTTTAAAGCTTATTTTGAATTGTTTAAATTATATTTGGTTAGATTTGATTGGTTTGGAGACTAGTTCTAGAGGAAAGACCCCGGTTGAGCTTTGATTTGATTGCGAAGTGAGATAAGTATTGATAGATCTAACCTTGACTCGAGGGAATTAGGAATTTTTGAACTATGTGTTGTGTGGATTATGTGAGAAGACGGTATATATGCGAGCTGACGAGTGTATATACGTCGTCAATATATCTGTTTTCCTTGTTTTTCGCTATTTCATGAATTATCTTGTTACATGCTTTATTTGACTTCTATGCCATAATTGTTATTTGTCATTTAATTATTCTCATGCTAAATTTTTCTCCTCTTCCATGGCTCCATGCTTATTTAATACTTGCCTTTAATTGTTTTACTTGCACGTTTTGATTGTCATATGTTTTACTTGTCCTATTATTTTTGTAATATTTGTTGCATTCTTTGATTATTATGTGGACCTTTATTACCTTTTGCCTTTACTCTTTGTTGTAGAAATTCTTGTCGGGCTATCGGATTGCTTATGTTAAATGAAATTGTTTGTGGAGCGGGTTGCATGCCGCAACGAAAATTGAAAGGTAATGAATTGAAATGGTGGAACAAGGATGGATTTTGACATTCATAAATGATGATATGGTGGGATCGGGTGCGCGCCTCCAACGGATTGTATATGTGATACTTGACACTGATAAATGATGATATGGTGGGATGGGGTTACATGCCGCAACAGTTTGTATATGTTGTACTTGTTGTTATTGTTGAGTTGGCCTCGACATTTTTATATGAGATTACGAGACGCGTTATTCTAGGCTTTCTAATAATGAGGTTGAGTTCATTTTCATGAGTTAACTGCTTTACTTCCACTTCCTTCTTCTTTTCTTGTTATTATTATTATTACTGTGTATAAGTGGCCCACTTTAGCCTCGTCACTACTTCATCGAGGTTAGGATCAACACTTAGAGAGTACACGGGGTCACTTGTACTCATACTATATTGTGCACTTCTTTTGTAAATACTGGAGTTGATCCTAGCGGCGCTCAATAACTTTTGCTTGGATTTAATCGCTGTCGGAGACTTGAGGTATAGTTGTATGGCGTCCATAATCCTAAGCCCCCTTCCATTTTATCGTTACTGTTTTATTGAGTTTCAAAACTGTGTATTTTGTTCAGATCTTGTTTGTAGCCCTCTAGATGTTCATGTACTCATGACTCCAGGTTATGAGTTATGTTTAGATTTTGTTGTCCGGTATTATTTTATTCTACTTCAGACTTATATCGTTAACATTGTTAATATTTTATTTTCAATTGTTAAAACAGTTAATTTTCTATTTCACGTCGGCTTGCCTAGCTAGTAGTTGTTAGGATCCAGTGTCACGACCCGAAATTCTCACCTTCGGAATGGTGATGGCGCCTAATATTTCACTCATTGGGCAAGCCAACGTTAGAGTAATTCTTTAACCAATTTTAAACACTTCAAACAATTTAACCAGTTAAACAAAAATGAAACTAAAATAAAGTACGAAGTAGCATAATAACCCAATTAACTAAGTACAACCCGGATCTGGAGTCACAAGTACACGAGCTTCAATAAGTTCTACAAATAGAGTCTAAAATAAATACAACTGTCTCGAATGAAATGAACATTAATTGAGGAAAGAGGATGGGGACTTCAAAGTCTACGGACGCCAGCAGATCTACCTCGAGTCTCCAAATAAGCTAATCTGAGATGATGCACCTCATAGACAGCTAGGACCAGTACCAAAATCTGCACAAGAAAAGCAGAATGTAGTATGAGTACAATCGACCCAATATACTCTGTTAGTGTCATGCCTAATCTCGACGAGGCAGTGACGAGGCTATGACTGGACATCCATGTAATTAAACATGTACAAATAAAGATATACGTGCAACATAACAACAAATAGAGATTTAATACGTACTATTGGGAGGGGACATGAGAAGGGGGACAGGAGAAGGGGGACAAGATACGATAATTACAATAGGAATGACAACATAAGACAATTAAATAAATCCTCAGCCAAAGGAAAGAGATAAATATAATGAATAAAAATGGC